GTCAGGAGGGAGGCTCTTGTAAAAGAACAGGATGAAGCACCAAGGAGTTCTGCATTGATAGAATCATCTCCTCCTTTGGGTTGGAAGGGTCCTTAAAAATCACCTGTTTTCAACCCCTCTGCCATGGGCACAGAACCTTCCACTAGACCAGGCTGCTCAAAACCCTGTGACTTGATTTTTCTTTCTTGCCCGGCTGCAGAACTGTGTGTCTGTCAGAACAGCTCTGGTAACGCATTTTATCAAGAGATTTTGTCTGTTCAAGAGGGAAATGGTGGTGAATGACTCCTAATGAGGCTCTGTTGGTGTCTGACCAGTTTGAAAATCCTGATTTTAACCTGATGGAGGTTTAGTGGGACTTTCCCAGAACACCTCTTCAAGGATCCTCTCCTACATGGAGCTGTAGAAAAGGCACATAGGCAGGCACAAACCTCTTCCACCCAAGAATGTGACATTTCCACATTTCTGTCTGTCTCATGGGCCAAATTATGAAAGAAGAAACATCCATAAATGCTTCCTGAGATGTGGAAGCAGAATAGAAAGACATGTTTCAGGCACATTTGACAGGGAAAAGTTTCCACTGAGTTTAACCAAAGTGGTCACTTCAAATCTCATCCAAACCCTGCTGAGCAGCTCTGCTGCCAGGCACTGAGATTACCATAGGAAAAAACAGGACCAGAAGGTCCTCTTGGGTCAACATATCAAGCCAGATGGGGATTTCTACAGCTGTTTGCCTCCTAGGATGGCAGGGGCAAAAATAGGTAGTTTTAGGGGCTCTTTAGCCCATTATATTTAAAATTTTTGGGTGGTAAGATATTTCATGACTTCACAGACTCCATTAACCAGATCTGACTATAAAGGCGCTTCCATGAAATTATTTCAGATGTAGATGTTCACAATGACTGATCCATATACTCTCAAGCATTTTCTGCTGGCAAGCTACTGGATCATAACATAAATATTTGAACAGGGCTGAGTGCATGACCTTACACTTTGTATTTCATAATTCCATGCATCATGCATTAATTCAATAATGGTTATGCAATCCTGCCTACAGGATAGTGTGATACCCTAGAAACTGGTGGTGCTTTCTACCTTAGTGTCCTCAAAAAATGTCATCAATATTTTCCTGAGTGAATGGACAGCAGGGAAAAAAAAAAAAAAGGCTGGGACTGATCCTAAAGGAGGAATTCCATTCTTATATTCTGCTTTTAAGGAAAATTCTTAAGATAACAGTTTTGTGGTTACAGTCCATGTATGTTTACATGTTTATGACTCCAGCAATGCAAGATCCACCAGGGAAATGCAGCAGTGATTTGCCAGCTTGTGGTGGGTTGGGGAACAGGGCTGGATGTGCCATGGATGGGCTGGGATGTGTGAATGGGACGGAGGTGAGGGAGCAGCAGCCCAGAACTCAGCCCTGAGGGCCGGTTAATGCACTGCAGCTCTGTGGATTGAACACCAAGGGATGGTTTTCGGCTCATGCAGCCCAGCTGGAGCAGGAGCAGAGACAGCGAGTGCGTTTCAGGCTGTCCTTCCCTTGGTGGCACCTCAGGAGGGGCTGGCAGGATCCATCCTCCATCCTGGTGGCCACCAGAGGGTAAAAGTGTGGCTTGGCCAGCGTGTGTCACACACACCCAGTGAGCCTGGGAGGTTGCTCTGCTCATGATGGAAGTGTCACTTTTATTCATGCACATTTTTAGCACCCTGCCACAGACACATTTTCTGAAAAATCCTTTCACTAGGATTTTTCTCCTGAGAATCTGGGAGGCCTCAGAAGCGAAATGTAAACAATGATTATCTGATTGCTTGGAATGCGGTCTGGAGGTTGCTTGCCAACAGGTGCATCATTGATTGGTTCCATGTGGATTGTTTCTACTTAATGACCAATCACAGTCCAGCTGTGTCAGGATTCTGGTCAGTCACAAGAATTTATTATTCATTCTTTGCTAGCCTTCTGGTGTCTCCTTTCTCTTTTCTTTAGTCTAGTTCAAATACATCATTCTCTTTTAATATAATATATATCATAAAATAATAAACCAGCCATCTGAAACATGGAGTCAAGATTCTCATCTCTTCCCTCATCCTAGGGACCCTCAAACACCACCACAGCACGCAGCACACACAGCTGTGCCCCAAGAAGTGGCTGGTGTCACATTGACTCTGGCCAGAGCAGGGGGCACCGGGACCTGCCTCCTGTCCCTAATTCTCCTGCATCATCTCAATAATTGCTGTCTTGGTGATTTTCATTGTTCACCTCAGTAACATAAATATACATAAAAACACATTAAGCCCTTTTGAAAACATAACAAAAAGTGTAATTATTCACTTAGCTGTTTCAAAAGCTCTCTCTTACAAATGAGGAAAAAATTCTTATGATCTGTCTGGTTTGGCTTTACTTTCTAAAGCAGCCTCAGTGACTCTAAAATGCCACCTGGCAGTAGCAGCACAGCTTTGTTGTGCAAAAGGCAGTTACACTGCACATAGTTTTCCAACTATATTGTAAAGTTTAGCTTCTTGAAGATGATTCACTCACCAGATGACCAGCCTTAAATATAGTTCCATGTGGCATTGCACACAAATTGTCCCAGACATTTTCAGGATGTATGAATACTATTCAAAGTCTAAGGATATACTAAAATTCCTTTCAACAACTGGACTGCTCTATAACACAGTGTTGCCCAGGGCACTTACTAAGTTTCCTGGCTTTCCTTTCGCCATTCTTTTGAATTTTCATGTTAGTGAGGCTGCAATCCAATCACTGAATATACCACAGAATTGCAGTCGCTGTAACAATTTCAGCACCAGTTTGCAGACTTTACAGGAGTTCAGGTGCAAGTTTGCTCCACAATCCTCAGCCTTGCAGTGGGGAAAGCGACCACAGACATCACCAAAAGGCAGATGTGACAGATAAAAGTATTTAATTTAGGTGCATGTACAGATATGCTACACCAATATTTTCTCCATGCCTCCAGATACAATGGAAGAATTTTGAGTGCAAATGAGATAAAGCCTGAGGAAAATATTCTTTATCAGAACTGACTCCTTAAACTCAGAGGAGGAAAAAGTATCTCAGCAAGTTTTTCTTTGCTGGCACAGATGGCAATGGAGTTACAGGTTAAAGTTTTTGCACATGAGTATTTTTATTTGAAAGGGCTCATGGTGCTTTTAAGCTACCAGAAGTTTTGTGCCTGATGATGTTATGAGAGTGAGTTGGTGACTTCAATCCACTCACACTGAAGAAAGCAACAATTTTTCTGATGCCAGAGGTGTAAGATGACCTCCTCTCTACCTGCTAATCAACATCATGAAATCTCCATGTTGGCACTGAATGAGTCTCATGATTCATAAACTGCTGTTATTTTGCTTATAAATAATTTCCTTCTTTTTTTTTCTATGAGAAACCCAAACACAAGAATTCTTCCTCTTTATCAGTCTTGGCCACATCCTTACAGAACTGTTGGCTGAAAAGAGTAAACCTAGCAATTTTCTCTTTCAGCTGACCAATAACTTCAGCTTCTCCATGCAGACAGAGTTTTTCAATATCTGGTTTTACATCTGGGACAGTCTTTCTTTTTTTTTGAGCACTGAAGGTTAAATATACGTAGATAATGTTAATGCAGTCTCTTCTGAGACAGATTTCATACTTAGCAGAACTTGTGCACATTAATGAGTGTTAATATCTAAGGGTATCAGATGTTGCTAATTCACATCTTTTAATAATCCATGAATATTTCAAATGTTAACATTTTCCCCAGAATTTAACACATATTATTTCCAGCTTTCATCATCATACACCGAACACATTGCTTAATGGCAGGGGGAAATTAACTTTCTAGATCTCAGGCTAAACTCTCTTAAAAGATATAATAAATAATGTTTTTTCCTAAATAAAGTAAGTAATATTCTGCCCCTGCTCTTCTAATCAAATTTAATTAAAAAAATATAAAAACGGTAAGTCATAGAAAAAATTGCAAATAATTTCTCACTTTATGAGTAATTACAGTTTAGTCTTTTGACTTTTATTTTAAAAAACCCTCAAAAATATACTTTGCTCTTGCAACCAACATTTTCATGTGGAAGTAACTGTTAAAATTTAAGTTAATGTGAGCAAAGCAACACGCTTTGCTTTTCTACAAGCTCTTTCAAGAACTTTTCTACCCCAGCAGCTGAGTACCACAACATTGGGTACTTAAAAGCAAAACAACCACTAAAAGCAATTGGTAGCATAAAAAACAACTTTTTTTTTTTTTTTTTACAGCAGCATCTACTATTAAATAACTCACTACATAAACAGTAAGGCCATTAGAGCCACAATGTCAAAGATGCTCTGCAAGCTGAACAGGCAAAACATTTCCACCATGACTGAAAGCCAGCAAAGCGCTCCTTAAGATGTCAACAGGGAAATATAATTCAGTCTTAATAGGTTCAGAGCTTGTGTAAGCCATGCTTATGGGAGAGTCTATTAAAAAACCAGCAAGTGAGCCAGTGACATTACTGTAAACAAAACCTGGAGCTTTCTAAAACATGCAGGCTAAAGACATTCAAAATTCCTCTCAAAGACACTGCTGTGGTAAGGTTTGTGTGTTCTGGGCCAGAAGTGAAGGGAAATATAAATATGAATATATAAAAGTGAAAGGAAAAATAAATATTCCAAAACAGGAATAGGTGAGGTGATACTCACACCTGTACAGAAAAGAGATGGGGAAAGCCTTCATCCCCATGAAGAGCATAAAATATAAAATCACTGTGATCAACCCATGTGCCTTTCTTCTAGTAAAACATCTGCTCTTCTGGAAAACCCAGCAAGTCCTCATTTCCAACTAGCCAACTAGTAATGCAGCTTTGGGATAGGAGCAAATCTGTCTTGGTGACAACTCGGTTCATTGAATTAAAATTGTAGAGCAATGTGAGATTTGCCGTTTCTGGATTAAAAAACAGTACATTTGCACATGCCCACCAGGAAAGGAAGCAAAAATAACCAAAACGTCTTGAGAACTCACCACCAGGTTTCCTATCACCATGACCAACAAGAAGACAAGAAGGCACAGTGGCTGCCCAGCTACTTCCATGCAGTCCCACATGGTCTCGATCCACTCTCCACACAAAATCCGGAAGATGATGAGGAACGAGTGGAAGAAGTCGTTCATGTGCCACCGTGGCAGGTTGCCAGTGGTGCTTATCTTCTTCACATTGTCCAGGTAGCTCTTCCCAAAAAGCTGCATCCCTACCACGGCAAAGATGAAGACGATGATGGCCAGCACGAGGGTGAGGTTACCCAGGGCACCCACTGAGTTTCCAATGATTTTAATGAGCGTGTTTAAGGTCGGCCAGGACTTTGCCAGCTTGAAGACTCTCAGCTGTGAACAGAACATAAACAACAGTGTCAGCTCACAGGAGCATCAGCCATTTCAGCCAATGAATTATTCAGGTGAGTAAACCGTGAAAGATGTTAAATGCCGCAGTGCGTGTGGTACGAGGTGATTTTAGCCATACTTCCTGTTAACCTCATTACTTCTATTAATAAAACATCACTTGGGCTTCTCAGATGAGAATTAAGTTTTCCTGAGCTATGCCCTGCCTGGTTAGATAGACATGGTTTTAATGGCACATTCCCCCACTGGTGGGGAAAGGCTGGAAGAATGACATCTATTTCTTAGTATTTTCTTTTGTGCTGCTTTTCCCCCTCAAAATAAACATCCTGGCAGGCATCTGGAGGGAGGGATTTCAGGTTTGGTCCCATAATGAGAGAAGGAATTCCTCTGTGCTTCAGAGCAAGTCTCAGTCAGATGTTATTAGCTGTTAGCTCCCAGGGTGAAAATCACCTCTGTGCCGAGGATCCCGCGGTCTGTGCACAGCCCACGGCCCACTTAAGACCTATTTTAAGGATGTAAATGGTGCCTAGCCCTTGTGCTGTGTTTTCAGCTGAAGGTCTAAATTAAGCCCTATTGAAGCAGGATTGCTCCAAAAAACCGGAGGGAGACACTTAGGACAGTGATGGAAAATTTACATTTTTGAGCAATGCAGAGAATTTTGGGTGGAAAAAAAATCATTTTCTTCTGGTAAATGTAACCACTAGGGCTTGTTTTCCTGATCTTAAAAATTTTGAAGCCATATCATGGCCAGAATAATTAGCATGGACATCCTGGTACATGAAGTGCAACACAAATGTCAGGCTGGCAAGGAAAGTACTTTTCTGTTCCAGAATGTTGCCAGTCTCTCATTAATAGAACACCACTGTCCCCTGCTTAACAAAGGAGCTGACAGCTCAGGAGTTCCCGTGAAAGACAGATGCTATGTTATGCTGATCAGTTCTAGAAAAAAAAATCATCCCTCTCTGAATAATTCAAAGACATTTTCTTTTGACAACATCTAAAAGAACAGTGGCATGTTTATAACATAATTTAGGAATAACAGCTCCTAAAACAACAAGTTATCAGCCCTTGCATTTCTTGGGCTATCAATTTTCTACTGTCTGTGCTAACAGGTGCACAGGTATAAAATGGCAGATCTTTATTACAAATTGGAATTCAAATATTTTAAGTGTGCTACAAGTACCTGGCACAGCTAGAAGGAATCAAATTATGTTCTCATTTACCCTGATGTAAATCTGGAACAATTCCATTTATCCCACAGTAATTAGTGTCACATACTGTTCACCAGCTTGCAGCAATTATAGGCAGATGCATTTTAAGAAAATACGTTGCATTCATGTCAGAGTTTATGTGTAATTAAAAAAAGATGGTTAAGAACAAAATAAGACCATTACCAGTCGAAAGGAGCGTAAAACAGACAGGTTTCCCATGCTGGACAAACCCAGTTCCATCAAGCTTAGAATAACAATTATGCTGTCAAAAATATTCCAGCCCTGTTGGAAATAGTAGTAGGGGTCAAGGGCAATTACTTTGAAGATCATTTCTGCTGTAAAAATCCCAGTGAAGACCTGCAGAAAGAAAATACGAAGTCAAAATAACCTTTTAAGCACAACTCCTTGCTTGTGGAGTTTCCACTCTCACAAGTAAACCCAGCAGAAACTCACACACATTCAAACAAATATTTGCTTTTTTTGTGGCTGACTCTTTATCCCTATTATAATTTTGTCTAGTCTTTTCACAATAATAGCTGATACTTCTGTAAACTTGTAATGACATCTGTCTTGAGGATCTGTATTGGAACATACATTTCTATCTCCTTCCATCATCTGAATAATCACAGTGGTAAAAAGAGAAAAGGGAAAAAAAAGGTGTAAAGGTGTCTTTTATAAAGATTAAATCTATATATTCAGTGGAGAAAGCTAAGTGAATGGAGAGTGTTGAGGGCGCTACTTGTGTTGCAGTGTATATGGTGTATAATCCCTTTTTATTTTGTTCTTATTATCAATAGAAGGGCAATGCACGCCTCCAGTTATTCTGAGGTTATTGCTGGCAGCAGAGATGATTAGAAACTCTAATTTGAGTCTTGGTGGGTTTGGTTTTTGTTGGTTTTTTTTACAAATAGTCACAGCAATTTTCTTCTCGTTGCATCCTGGGAACACATTGGTTATTTATGACCCAGTTCAAATGTCATATGTTGGAGCTTCTAATTGGAACATTTTTCTTTAAAACAACATATAAATATACCTATGAGGCAGAGGGAGCAGGGAAAGGAAGGCTGCTGACAGCAAATTCACTTTTAATATATTCCTGTGAAGCATCCCAGAGAATCAGATTTTGTACTTCTGCATGTCCTGCTTAAGTAATGTTTTAAATGCACAGCGCAATGCTACAATCAACTTAAAATGACAAAATGTGGGCACCAAATTTGTTGTATAATGTTTTATTTTAATGTCATATCCTAGAACAAGATGCCCAGAGCTTTGTGTTTCTGGAAAATTCTGGAATTTCTGAAATAGAAATAGATACATTTGCAGAAATTGATATCTTTAAAATTCAAATGCATGGTTTTCTGTAAAACAATCAACATCAATGCATTTTGTTGGTCAAAATAGAGGGGGAAATCCAGAGGTCATGTATCGCTAATATACAGTCAAGGAGAAATGTTTTTCTTCCCAGAAATTGAATATTTGCAACATTAACGCAGCAAAACTGATCAACTCTGAGCAACAGAGATGAGACACCCACTGAGACGTGAAAGGGAAGGAGTAAAATCATACCATTATGATATTAAAAAATAAAAATAAATTATCATAGCCTGAATTTGAGGAGCGCTTGGCTTTGCTGTGTAATTCTTCAGGAATTAATTGCTCCAAGTGGCCATTTTACACAATTCCTTATGGAAGATACCTTCTGTTTCCCCTCAGGAAAATGATATATTGGATTGCAGCAATAGAACAACTTCCCATCACCACCTCATACCAAGAACACAACAAACAACCTGTCTCACATTTCTAATTAGCAAAGAACTTGTGAGTCACAGGGGTTAGAGATACCAAAGATTCCCACCATGATGCTCAATTTTTTCCTGGGACAGAGAGCAAGACAAAACTGGATGTCTGTGAAATTCTATCCAGGGGACTGCCTTAAAAAACTACGAGACCACGCCGCACACATTATGCAACCCTCTTGCTGAGAAAATTACTCAGGAGGATCACTTTCTTTGCCTGAATCATTTTAATCAATAGCCTTCTGAGAAGGAAATGTCACAGCAAGGCAGCAAAATGTCTGAGCCTTCCTGGAGGCATCAGGAATTGTGTGTTATGTACCAGCCACAAATTCCACGCAGCACCTGCACAAGGGGCTGGGTGCTTCTTGTGATAAAGGCTGGAGAGAAAACAAGCAGCTTAACATCCCACTGGTGCTAAATATGACACTGCTGATGTGGAGCACTTTGTCTTTAAAAAAAAAAAAAAACAAAAAAAAACCAAACAGAAAACCCTTTTATCTGTCGTCTCAGCCATTTAGGCTTTAATGTTGCATAATGGTGCCTCAGCTTCTAAAGGAAAACAGAAATTGAGGGAGTTCTTGCTCTCTCCACTCATTTTTTAAGTGGTGGTACTGTGTGGGTGGATGAACTCTGTACACGTGCTCGGCTGGCCTTGTGATCACGTTTGAAAATGTTCATTCCTCTAAGGGAAGAGCTAAAGGGGCCTGGAAGATGCTGAATGAAGGAGATGGACAATCCCAGCAGGAGAGCCCCAGTGACTGGCAGATCCAGAGGAAGAAAATCCATATTCCATTTTTTATTCTTTCATTTCTCTCAGAAACATTTGCTCAGAGTAAAAAAAAAAAAAAAACAAAAAAAAAAAAAAACAAAAAAGAAAAAAGAGCCAAAGACCTGCCCTGTTTAATATTTCCCCTGTTTAATGCTAGCATAATCACTCAAAGAGGGTTAGATGTAACGGGAAGACAGCCAGCCAGCCAGTGTGGGGGCAGAGGGGGGGCTGCCAGTCTGCAGCTCAGGGGATGCAGCCACCTGGCAGCCTGCCCTGGAGCTGGGACTCCCTTCCCTTTCACAGGGAATTGCAAAAAATGTCAATTTTCATTACAAATGACTTTGCAAAATCTTCCACGAAATGGAGTTACCTTTCCCTGACCTGCTCTGCTCACAATTAATCCAGTTATGCAGGGGTTTTGTAAAGCTGGTGAGGGTGAGCTGAGGCAGGCTGGGCTCTCACAGACCCAGGCTGGGATCTCAGGAGAAGGGGAGCCCCGAGCCATCAGCCTGCTACAAAAAATGCAGGCAGGCTGTTTTGCTTACTTTACACTTCAGCACAAGGAAGAGAAATAGCTCTAGGCAGTGCTAAGAAACACACAGTGAGATTTTTCTCCTCTGTTTTTCTGTCAAAATTTTGCAAAATTTCCCTCTCTGGAAAAGGAAAAAAAACCCAAAAAAAATAAAAAAAGGTCTCTCTGCAAAATTCCCCTGTTTGCAAAAATCCCTGTCTCTCCTGAGTGTCTAATTTCCTGATGGCACCTGGCACAGCCCTGCTCAGCCCTGGCAGGTCTACAGGAGCTGTGCTGGCAGGAGGGGAGCCAAGGGCTAAAATTTCACTGCCTGTGGTCTGCAAAGGGGGAGGCTGATCTGCCAAAAGCAGAGTGAGGAGCAGACACCTTGACTATCCCACGTGCCAGAGAGGGAAGTGGAGGCATTGCCACCTGCTTCGATGGACGCAGAGGAATTTTTTCAAGTCATCTTAGAAGGCCACAAATTGTTGAGCAGCAAGAAGGAATGTTGGCTGCAAAGTGAAGCTGTGTACTGTCCTGTAAGATGATTTCCAAGCTGTCCTTATCTGCTGCTTTCTGCAGAGGGCAGGAGCATGGCTTTGGAGCAAGAGAGACCCAAACAGATTTCTGGTGAGCACAACAACAGAGGGAGATTTGCCAAGACACATCAGCTGAAAAGCTGGAGACAGGTCCCACAGCCTAGGGGAGTAACCTCAACCTGCTCATGGAAGCCCAGAGCTGGAAATAACAAGGACCAGAGTAAGGAAAAAAAAATCTATATGTTATATCCCATATTCTAGGACTGATACAAAATGCTTGGTTATTGCTGCTACCTACCCAAATGTACCAGAATGAGAAACTTCTCACTAAAGGCAGGTCCCACACCTGCAGTGTCTCTGTGTGCTCCCACTGTGGTCAATGGCCACTGCAGTCACAGCCCTACAGGCCACTGCTCACCTTATCCAAAAGTAAATGTCACTACAACATCACATTAATGGGGATTGAAACTATCCATCACTTTCCACTGACTTTAAAAAGAGACAAACACAACTGGCACAGACTCCTACACTGTAAATACCTAAAATTAGGTGACATTAATCCAGCTTTGAGATACTGCAACCTCTGTTTTTACAGAAATAAAGAGCTTTTTAACCTCTGCTGTGAGCTCCTCAAATGCAAACTTAGCAGCATCCACCTTCCAGATTCCCCAGAGCACTTTTGTTCCTGTAGGATATCTCTGCTGCTGCCACTACATTTTAGGGGCAATCCCACCATGCCATAGCTAGGTGGCTGAATTTTCTAATTCAGACTCTTCTACAATTAGAAGGATTGTAAACATTGTTTGAAAGCAGTAACATGTGGCAACTTTTAAACATAACTCAGAGAAAGATGAATAAATAAAAAGACTCCATTGTGTTGTAACTGCAGAGTTTTAGTGGCTACCTGGGTCACAAATTGTATCTCATTGCCTTTGGAAAGGCTTTTCTGCTGTCCCTGCAGCTTGACTGTGGACTGTCCCTCTGCTTTTCTTGGGACAAGTGTGGTCTCTGCTTGCTTTGTATCTCTACGCCCACCTGCTCTGGGTTGCACATTAAATTTCCCCTCAAAGCACTGGCTGTGCTTTGCTCCCTGTCCCCTCTGCCCTGGGGTTTTCACAGGAACCAGCTCATGTAGAAGATGCACAACAACACCTTCCAGCACAGATATCAACCCATGATCAAACACAACTCCACTTCCCTCCAAGATCTTGCCTTGCTTTTTTTCTGTAGGTTTCTGTTTTAACATAAAAGTCACTATTAGTCACCAAGAACTTCTGCCTTATGGGTGCTTTACCAGAAAACCTGAATAAAGCTCATTAACCTTTCTCTTATCTCATATCCTTAAACAGATATCTATCAGGAACAGCCCAAAACCATGGCTTTAATGGTTACTAATACCATCAGAATATGTTAGCTTGACAAAAATAGACACTTGTTCCTCATTCAGTTCTCTTCAGAAGGCGAGACTTGCTTGACAAAGGCAAAGCAATGCTGGCAGTTATCAAAGTGGGACATTCCCATGGCCAAAACTTTAAAAAGCAGGAAATTTCACCCCTCAGGTGGCACTTCAAGCTCAGGCTGACTTACCAAATTGCCAATGTAGAGCATGTGCTCAAACTCCTTGGTCATCTTGTAGTGCTCCAGGGCCATGAAGAGCGTGTTCAGCACAATGCACAGGGTGATGGTGAGGTCAGTGAACGGGTCCATGACCACAAACTTGACAAATTTCTTGATTAAAAGCCAAAGTGGGCAACAATCCCAAATGAGGAATTTAACAGCAAAGTGGTTCCAGCAGGGAGGACATTTCTGGTGCGATTCCTCAAGCTCTAAGTCACAAGCAGCAAAGTCACAGTCAATTCACACTGAGTTATATGACAAGAGAACACTTAAAATTACTCATTACACAGAGGAAGGCCCACAAATTACTCCAAACTTTTTTCAAAGATAAAAATATTCCTGTCCTAACAGGCTGGCAAATTACACACTTTGGGGTTTTAGCCAGTTGACCTGCACTTAGCAGACAGTGACCTGTTCTGAAAGCAAAAACCTTTTAAAAGTGTCACAGGCAAAAAGTGAGAATCACACTAAATATGTGAAGTCTGGTATTATATATAGGCTTAGATTCTTACTCTGTTTTCCATTTTGCCAATTTCAAATGGATAAGAACACACAGTCTTCATTTAGCTTAGACTGGAATATCTAATTTTCATTCCCTGCTCACATTTTCAAAGTATCTAAAGTAATACCTTTTAAAGCAGATAAGAGATGAAAGAACTTAAATCCAATATTTAAAGCTTATTTAAGTACTTGAGGACCAGAGTATCATTGGTTGTCAACAGAGTTTCTGTCCTTGATGTGCAATTGAAAACAGCATTAAATATCTGATTTTTCTGAAAAGCCCACTGACAAAATCATGGAGCACATAAGCCAGTTTCAAAATGCTACTAAAAATGTGCTTTTTAAAGGTGCTCTTAAAATATTGCCTGTAATGCCACTTTTACATGCTCATTTTACCTATGCACAAAATAACTGAAATATCTTCATAAGTTGTGTTAAATGCTGAAAAAAAGAAAAGTCCAAAAAAGAGACAGTTAATGGCTAAATGACAATGATCAGCAGAATTGCTTAATGCCTTCCTTTTCTGATTCCTTTATGGGCATGGAATGCTGTATTATGGTTTTAGTCTATATAATTAGAAGCTGCACTGATAACAGGAAAACTTCAGCCAAGGCTGTTATTTCAATCAGTTCATAAACAGTCTCCTCTCCCAAGGCAGGAAGCATTTGGGACAAGGGGAAATGGCCCCAAGCTGTGTCAGGGGAGATTCAGATTGGATATTGGGAAAAAAACCTCTTTACTGAAAGAGTGGTTAAGCACAGATGGAGTCATTCCCCCTGGAAGTGTTCAAAAACCGAGAGGACGCGGCATTTTGCAATATGGTTTGGTGGCATGGGGGTATTCGATCAAAGGTTAGACCTGCTGGTCTTGGAGAATTTTTCCTCAGATTCTCTGATTCTTTATCCACTCTTCTTCAAAGGACAACAGAACTGTGATATTAGGTGTCTTCCATCAAGCTTTCAAAACGCCCTATGGTGTCCTACCTGCACAGATTTTGCACACACATCTACACTGCTCTGAGGTCTTTGGGAAATCAAATTGATCCCAAGAAATTACTCTTTCCAACCTCCAAAGAGAGGGTTTACAGGTAAACCCTAAAATTATTTGAGAACCATGGATTTCAATGCAGAATTCTAATTTTTTTTTTTTTTAACTTGCTTCAGAAAGCAATAAAGGGTTTAAGGCAGTCAATTCCTTAGGGATCTAATTTTCCAGGTAAATCTAGACCATATTCTTCACAACGTAAGCCCCTTTAAGTCCAGATTGCTGCTAAAAGATTTTTTTTTCACCCCCTTCAGCCTCATCCACATGTTATTTCTCTGTCCTTTTGCCAGCTTTTGTGCTCCTGGACCTTCTGGGTGAGCTGGTTCTGCTTGTTGGTCTCTCTGAAAACCAATCACACAAAGTGCAGGAACACAGAGAAGGAGGAGGGTATGACTGTTGTCTTTTGGCAGTGATGTGGCATTAAAATGGTTTAAATCAATTAATAATCCACATCCTTTCCTAGTAAATACGATATTTGGAAAACACAGGATATTTAATTTTTTTTCTAATATCTGCAAAAGAAAAAGTAAAATTAGCCTCTGTTTCTTCTGCTACTGTTAAAAATGATCAGAAAAATACAACCAGCATTGTGATGGTTTTCCTCTTATTTTTAAATTTAAACAGAAATAGGTCCTTTCTTGTCTGCAAGGCTTTGTAATGTCTGGAAAAAACAGACAGTTGTTGACTGCCCAAGAGCTAAGAGCAGAAACCAAATAAGTAAAGGGGAAGTGATTTCTGGTCTGGCTGTTTCAAGGTTTGGCACAAATCTTACAGCCATGAATATGGTTAAATCCTGTCATACATTTTATTCTGATCTGACATTCCCTGTTAATAAGTATTCAATTTCAATGACTAATCAAAGTCTGGGAGTTAGGAAATATTTGATAAGGATTCTTCTACATAGAATCATAAAATCATTTAGGTTGGAAGAGACATTTGATATCACTGATTCCAGCTGTTCTCCCTTGGCTGCCAAGTTCACCACTAAAGCACATTCCTGAGTGCCATGTCCTCTGAGTTATCCTAGACTGGATGGTCTCTATCTCTGTGGTATAAAGGAATAGAAAAATACCACTAAATAAACAAGAACTCCAGAAGTCCAGACCTTTTAGGCATTCTTAATACATTACAAAGAGCAAATCAGTCACAAAGCTAATTGCTAAAAACCCCACAGAAAACAAATAAAACCTTTGCAGAGTACATTAAACACTGGAGTACACCAAAGCAATTATTTCCCTATTTAGAACACAGCTCTTTATTCATTCAAACAGAAATATCTCCTCTAGCCACAATACTGCTGAATATAATCACGGGGAGGGTAAAAAGTTGAGGATGAGGAAGGGCTTTGTGGTTTCACACTGGGCAATGTCCAGGTCCCATCTATGAGTCCCTGTCCATCAGTCACACAGAGAATTAGGCTGCAGGAGAATCCACAATTTCCCTTGCTACTGTGTTTTTGACTGACATTTTCTGTGCTCTTTGGTGGTGCTACCTCCTCTCTCATTCCTGTTTGTGTAGGAGATACAAGAAATTGTAGGAAGCCCTTTCATGCAACAAGTCAAAAGATTGGGAATGTGGGGGTCTTGCTCTAGTTGTCTTGCTGCCAATAAATTTGTAAGAGGAACACGCAAAGTTCCTGCCTGTGGAAACCCAGAGGAGGAGAATTCTCCTGTAGCTCATGAGAAGAGCAGCGGAAAAAGTTGTTGAGAAATAGTTGTGTGGCTAAAGCATCCTTTGAGCATCCTCAAATTTCGTGGTGGGACTCCAACACTGCAGTGCCCCTGTTGTGAGAGACTTCGAGACTCTGAGACTTTCCTCCCTGACAATTTGGAGGTTCTGCACATGCCAGGATTTCCATCAGCCCCAGTGAGATGAGGCACCAGCACGTGTGCAGTCAGTCTCTCCAAACCAGGCTGGTGCTCTGACACCCTGCACTCCAGCGAGCCATGTGCCCATCTAACACCACAACAGCCCAAAATCTTAAATCTTACAGCTCCAATTCTGATTACATGGCATTTTCTCTGGATTTTTACAAGTCCATGGGTAAGATAACGATTGTGCTGCTTCTGTTATAGGCATTGCAATAACAACCCTTAGTGCCTTCTTTCAAAACGATATCAGGGCATTTTGTGTCACTTTTTTCCTGCGTTTTAACACAGAGATGATTTTGAGCTGGGAAACTGAGGATGTCTCTTACCTTCCAGGGCACTGGTGATGATGCTGACAGCACTCACTGCCCTCTGCCTCTGAAAGGGCTCCTCTGAGTGGTCCACTGAGGGCCGGTGGGGCATTAAAAGCTGTTTCTTGCTTGCCTCATCCGAGGGGGAAGTCTGTTCAAAGGAACACACTGGATCAGCAGAGTAAATCCAAGGCAGACACTGGGTAAAAATTTCAAAACTGCCTAAGCATTAATTTTGTCATCTGAGGAGTTTAAAGCTCACTGACTTTTGTGTTTAAAGGCATGCTGGTGGGACATAGTTTTGAAAATGGCACTTTGAGCAATTTTGGAGAATTTGTTCTGCCCTTCACCTTCATGTAAGCTGTGGGTGAAAATAAAGGAAGGCTTACAATGCCAGAGGAATAGCAGTGCTGCTTTCCCATGCTCTTTGCTTGTGAAAGAAGGCCTACTTAATTACATTAATTAATCCATTATTTCTGAAATGTGTTAAGTATTTAATTATACAGCTAGAAAAAGAAAAGGGCGTGGGTAACAGCTCCATTGCAGACCTCTGATATCATACCAAGCAAAATGACTCCCCAACACATGTTTTTCCTTGTTCTGAAACACTGCCAAATCTCAGGAACATATTGTCATTGTGGTGATCTTTGGTGTTATGGATTCTGAAGCTCCATAATTAGGGGAGAGACTTAGCTTTCTTTTTCTCAGGAAAAAATAAATAACCTAACCCTTGTTCTCATGTTTCTCAAGGAAAAGAATAAAAAAAAAAAATCCCAAAGAAATCAAATACCAGAAAAACAGAAGTCCCAAACTGTCTTTGTTTAATGTCTCATTTTAAATTAGTTTTATGCTTGTTGTAGGCTTGGGTTTCTGAAGTCAGACAGAAATACAGTGTAGCTGAAGACACACACTGCATGAAACACTTCATATTGTCAGCTCACAGGAGCAAGATGTTAAGGCTTTTATTATTACAAGCTCTCAATTCATATAGAGAACAAATCCCACTTGGTTTACTCCTCCAGATCTCACACAGGTGGAAAGAAAAGTGGTTGAGGTGCAAGAACCTGGGAAAGCCAGGTTTAACATCATTCTCTACCACAGACCTCCTGGTTGAGACCCTCAGTTTCCCAAAATAAATGTTTAACAGCCCTTGCCCTGGTCCTCAAGCACCCAGACATTGTGTAACAAGACTGGTGTAGAGGATGGATTCTGATGGCTCTTGTGCTATAGCTCAAGGAAACAGGAAATGAGAAGAAATCCCTACAAAGATAAGAAACTCTGGTTTATTCAGATATCAGAGTAGCTGCTTTGGTTTCTCCATGAGAAGTGAGCTACAGGAATTAGATTCAGCCTTCTGGATCTTCTCATCACTTGGGTCTGAAATGGCCCTGATCACCCTGATCAGCACCTGGAATGCCAACTGAGATGTGCCAAAAGCTGCAGCTCCACAGCTCTGCTGTTTGTGCCCAGGGACCCAGGCTCTCTCCTTCTCACCATTTCTCTACCAAAAATGCTCTTCAAGAAAGCCAATTCCACAAGAAAAGCAAGAAACGAAGGTACTGAAGCTTTATGAGCCGTATTTCTGGACTGGGACCTCTTTAGGGCAGGAGATACCCCCAGCAAAGGACAAAGATGTTTGGCCATGATTGACAATGACAATGATAACCAGGATGCTGGTCCCAGGTCACTTCAAGCACTGCAGTTAAAAAAACCAATCACTGTGAGGCCAGAGAAGAGTAAAGACTTTGAAAGCAAGAACTTAAAACATTAGCTGGGCCAGAAAAGCAGTGATGCTTCAAAATGGCCTTTACTTCCCCTCAAAAATGTCCTTTTAAAGAAAAACTCAACAGAATCTGCTCATTGCCCATTGAGTTACTGACTAAGTCATCTCAAAGGGAAAGTCATAACCAGAAACTCTTCAAAGAGAGTCATGCACAACTAGAAAACACTTTCTCCTTGGCTTAGGAGCCAGCGAATACCAGGAATGGTGTTTCAGATGCATTAGTTTGCTTGATTTCCTTCACCTCAAAAACATCCAATAAAAACCAATGAAACAACAAATGTTTTATTAATGAAGAAAGCATCTACAAAATTGCATAATCATTCACAGCAGTTTGGAATACATAACAAATACATGGTACCAAAAAGAAAGAGTTAGACAGAAAAACAGGAGGGAGGCAATTTTTTAAAGTAGAATAAATTTAAACAGAAAAGAAAGGAAAAGCAAAGTAAAATAGGAAAAAAACCCCCAAACTACAAGTATGCCTCTGTGAAATGAACCATAAGAAAACTTCAAATTTCAAACCTCTGTGGCTTATTTCAGTCTTTTTAAGCTCTAACCTCTCCCCATCCTATCTGACCTAAAGTATAGGATGTACCAGTAACATGTCATCAGACAACCTCATTCCCAAGAGTCCTTTACCTGAGAGCCACCTTTTATTCACAAGTGCAAAGTGGTAGAAACGCAAAAGAAAAACATTCACAGGTTCATTTTTCCTATTTTTTTTTTAAATTTATTTAACTGAACCAAGCCCCTGTTTTCTGCCAGCCCCCTGGCATCAGGCACAGAGCAGAGACACAGATGACACAGTGTGTGGCAGGCAGTGCCACTGGGCAAAGATTTGCCAACAGAGCAGTAAATCCAGCACGTAGCCACTCTGTCACTTACTAGGAAGAATTTTTCCAGGAAAGAAAGTTTCCATCCAGGTGAATTGCTTAAAATTACTAAAGCTCCTTAAGGAAGGTCATAAGCTTTTACCATACGTAAAGAATAGTTATGCGTGGGTTTGGGTTTATACTATTTTTATTTATTTTAGAACAGAGATGGCTGATAGTCACACAAGGAACTGGCAGTTTTTGCACTGTGAGACAGAAACAATTCCAGGAACTGGACAAGCAGGCAGCAGAAAGGCTATTATCATCTCTGAGAGAACACACACAGGTACAGCTTCTCATTGTACTTATATTTCTATAGAAATTAAACATAAAATAACAGCAGTCCCCGCAGTTATGCAAGGAGTGTCCCTAGGATCCAGATGAGAAATCACAATGGAGTTAAACATAGGCACCTCCAGCAGGAAAAGATTACTTCTGTTGCCCCCTGATGAATTGGAAAAGTTCCTCCTTTGGATTAGCTAAATTCTATAGAGACAAATATACTATGCAGTAATTTAGATGTAAATGAGGATGCATAACAGAGATATTTTCTTCTCACTGCCTACAGTTTTGAACTATGTCAAAATGATTATGTGAAGATGGGCTTAAGCATAGCAGCGTTTTTAAAGACCATTTTTGGAAACCAGAACAGGTTTAATTTTCCTTGTACACTTCAAAATTTTTCAAGCAGAAAAAGGTGGCCAAGCCACACCATGAGCAATGGACCCAGTAATGCATCCGCACAAATATTTAATGAAATTGGATGTGGCTATAATAGAGCACAGCATTAAAAACAAACCACCAAATTTTGGGGATGCCTGACTATTTAAAGAAATGCACCTTAAACTAAAGCAGTTTGAAATATTTGTACCAAATCAGAGTGATTTACACTTAGAATGTACAAAAGCAAAGTTTGAAATGAGCAGAAACCAGAGCTGTGGTGACAACTCTGTGTGACAGCATCAGAGGGAGCTTTTATCCTCGTAACTTATTGGAGGGGTTTTGGATGACTTATTCTGTTGACCTTTATTTCTGAACAAGGAAACTGCTAACACTTTCCCTTTTCACCAGTCCTGTGCCAAAGCAGAAAGTGAAAGAGAGAAATTTTACCTCAGGGTGATTTTAGGATCAACATGAAAACCTCAAACCAATGTGGTCAGCAAAAGCCTTTTATGCTTAGCTGAAACAAAAAGCCAGGTCTTTATGTTTGTTTGTTTGTTTGTTTGTTTTTATTTTTAAAATAATATCATCTAAAGATAAATTCCAAATCTTTATTTTAGTCCCTTGATAAACAGCTTGGCCCCTCTCCAGGTGTTTTCCCTTCTGCCAATCTAGAAATGCTCAGCATTTCAAGTTTCCTAGAAAAGAAAGCATAAGGGTGACCAAGAGGAAATTCAGGAAGGGCTGTGTGTGCAAGAGGGTGTCCCCAGGTTACTCCAGCCTCATTGTCCATCCCAAAATCATCCCAAAAACAGCCTGCCCTGCCCTGCTCTGCTCCTGGACTGATGGGAAGCTCTGGTGAGGAGGTGCCCCAGGAGAGCAAAGCAGTGGGGATCACTCTCGGATTCTCTAGCTGCTCAGAATGACCCCAAGATGTGTCAGAAAGTCTCTTTTCCCAGCCCAATGGTCAAAGAAGGAGTCAGAGCTCTTCAGTTCTCGGTCCAAGGTTGTTTATTGTTTCTTATCTATAAAATTCTTTCTCCTGACCTGCCAAGATCTGCTCAGCATGACAGAGGCACTCTGCCTGCCCCCACATAAAAACTACGTGTACAACATTTACAATCACTTTCCAATACCTATCACCTATGTTAGACAGTGAGCTTCTACTCTGAACCAATCTAAAAGTGCCACCATCACAGCAGAAGATGGAGGCCAAGAAGAAGAAGGAGAAAGATTCCTCCGTCTTGCCCCCTGAACCCTTGTGACCACTGTCCCAAGGGTCTTCAGGGTGAGAGAGAGGCGAGAATGTTGACTTCATGTTCAGAAGACTTGATTTATTATTTTATGATATATATTACATTATGACTATACTAAAAAGAAATAGAAGGAAATTCTCAGAAGGCTAGCTAAGCTAAGAATAGAAAAGAATGAATAACAAAGGGCTGTGTCTCAGCAGAGAGCAAGACCCAGCTCTGCCATGAGTGGTCAGTAAATCTAAACATCTACAGGAGACTAATCACGGATCCACCTGTTGCATTCCACAGCAGCAGATAAACATTGTTTACATTTTGTTGCTGAAACTTCTCAGCTTCAGCAAGAAAAATTTTAACTAAAGGATTTTAATGAAAAGATGTCTGTGACAAACCCCCATTCTAAAAACTCAAAAAAAATCTGGTTTTCACCCCATGATAAATTCACTATCATTCTACTTAAACTTTCCTGACTTGTAATTCTTCGTATAAGGTTGGTAATTGGTTTTTCCAAGGGCTAAATCAAAGGCACAGGGGTCTTGGGCTCTGTGCCAGGGTCTCTGAGCCCCCTGACAGGGTGTGGAGTCCTCCAGGGCAGCCAGAGGAATTTCCTGGGTTGCCACAGATCACCACCTAACAGCCAGTGCCAACTTGGAAACCACCACTCCTTCAGTCCTGCATCCATTTCTCTTCCACTCCCACCTCTGGAACAATTGTAAAGTCAGGTTAAATTAAAAGTCTTGTGATTTCCCTGGAGTGTTACAGGAAAGGCTCCAGTTGGATTTAGGAGGCAAGAAGGGATGGTGTTTTGTGTGTTCCTTAACCCTCTAGAAGTTCTTGACAGCCACAGGTGAAATCTCACTCAGCCTCATCAGAATCCATGGATAAATTGACCTCCAGGTAAGAGTTCATTAACTAAATCAAATTCTGCCCAAGCATATCAATACCTTGTGAAGGGAGGTGTTATTCTCACTTCTTAACTAAGAAACACCAAGACACAACGCAAAGACACAAATAAGTACTGCAGGAAGGTGCAGAACCTTTAGGTTATTGGTGCCCTGAAGTTACTTACATAATATATAGATTTTTCTCTAAATAAGGCAAAAGCCAAAATGCCACCCAGCAATCAGCAGGAGGATAAGAATGTATAATTTTTCAGAACTCTCAGTTTCAGCTCAAGACAAAAACAATTAGGACTTCTAGCATAATCACCAGGTCCTGCTTATGTCTTATTTGCACTGGGGTAAGTTTGATAAAATCAGCATCTGCACCACTTGAAGAAAGCTGGTGGGAGACCAGGACAGCCTTGGCTGAGTCCCCTGCATTTCCAGAAGAGTGACCAGGACTTTCCATGGGTTTCCTGGGACAAGCTCCCTGCACCCCTCAGACCAGAGCACCCGTTGCTCTTCCCCTCCAAGTGACGACTGCCGGACCCAGAGCTGGTTTTGTGAATGGTTTTTGCAGACCACACTTTCACACTGCACTACTTTGCTCTCCCTGTCACCTCTGCAGGGTCTCTGGCTGGAACCCTCATGGCACTGAACCCTCTGTGCAGCTCCCCAGGCTCTTTCTAACTAAAACCAGCTCCTTGTGGGAACTCTCCTGTGTCATGGGGGTACCCAAAGTGTGCAGAGATGCTCCTGTAGAGGGTAGGATGTCCTCCTCTTGCTCAGGTCCTGAAGCCCCTGGTGACTTTCAGGACTGCTTTGGTGCAGATGAGCTCCTGGGCAGGTGGCTGCTCAGCATGGACCACGCTGACTATGATCAGCACACCTGATGGCCATAAAACTGCCCCAGCTGATGAGACTGATGGGGTCTAAAACCACCCATTGAAATAACCTAAAATCCTCCCTTTTTCCTCAGCTGGATTTAGGAATTAGGGAGAGGAGATGGACTGTGCAAACACACTTGGTTTCTCATGGAAACCCACTCATCCATCTGTGCCAAGCAGCCAAGGCCATCTGAAGAGCATTTGAAACTGGGTTTTTTTATCTTACATGCTTTTCTGCAGCCAAGTGCCAGGATGTCACTCCTCTGAGTCACCAGCCTGAGCAGTGGGATAAACTGCTGCAGCCACTTCTCTCCTGGGAGAGGGCAGCTGAACTGCACAGATGTTTTCATGTCAGCTCAGCTGCCACCTGCAGCCATTCCTGTGGGGAAATGGTCCCTGGATGGGACAGAGGGTGGCAGTTGCAATGACAAAAAGGCATGGAAGTTGCTCATTGTGGTCCCAACCCAACCATTTTGCCTGGGGTAAACTGTTCAGGGTGAATATTGCTGAAGTTAACCAGGCTAAAATGCTCAGAAGTGGTTAGTGACTGTGCTTTCCTGGAGAAACCTGAAGGGGACCCACTTTGGGAAAATTTGTGACAGCTATGGGCTAAGTCACTGTTTGTGACTGAAGGCCTAGAGTTGAAAACGCAAAACCAGAGATTTTGTTTGATGTTTTCTCTGTCTCTTAAATCAGAATTGCTCCTCCAAGCTTTCCCCAAATCAGAATTCAGTTGATCTCCCCCCTTAGTAGCAGTCTGGGTGTATGCTGTTTTCATCTGATACTACTCAGCATCATGGAGTGACCTAAAAAAGCACATCCCCAAAAATCTAATGCTGTAAATTGTGGTTTTTTTCCAGCTCCATCTACCCAGGTGTTTCATTTGAATGAGCAAAGCCACAGTTACACCTCAGGAAGCTGCAAGTCAGAGCTCAAGCCATGTTACAGTGATGCATTTTCATGGACTGGCCCTTCATCTCTTGCTCATGAAAGATACAACAGATAGCCCAAGTGGGTCCTTTTCCACAGGCTCACACTTGCTCAAAATAAAAAACAGCAGAAGGGTCAGTGAGGTTAATGAGGTAATTGCAACATCTTTCTTTCTACCTTCCCCAAACATACCAAGAGACTGTAAAAAGAAACCAGAGCTGCTTACAAAGAACAAATTCACCTACAAATTTTACCACGAAAAAAGGTGAAAATCATCAAATGCAAGGCCAAGAAACATGCTGATTTATCTCCAAGCACGCTGAGGGGTCAGATTTGCTATTTCCTTGTGCCTGAGCCACAGCTGAGGCTGCATGTTTGTGCCCAGTGCTTGTGACTCCTGCAGTGAATACGTCTGTACAGCAACGGGCCCCTCGCCAATCAGCCCTTAACTCCAGCTCACATTTTCTGGATAGATTAGATACCAAACCTGTTTTGCAAAAGACACAACATCCTTCACATTGCATCACTGGATGAGCATCTGCTACTGTAGAGCCTGGGTGTTGTTTCCTAGATGGGCAGGGAAGTGCCAAGTGAGCTCCCCCACCCCGGCCATTGCATTTCCAACATCCATTTATCCAAAAGGCAGGGAGCCGACAAATGAAAATAAATGCCAGCAGAGCTCATAGCCTCCCTGTCACCTCAGGACCCAGTCCTGTAAAATACTGATATTCTCTGTGAAGGGTTGAGTGCTCTTGTGCTTTGCTAAGCTTTTTCTGACAGCTGGGACAGCCTCAGCAGCCTGCAGAGCTGCTTTCCTTACAGAGAAAAAGGGGACATCCTCTACTCATCTACTGAGGTCTTACAACTTTTGTTCAGAATTTCTTTTAAAACAGATGCACAAATTTTCTTCCCCAGATCCTTTAATACACTTTTTTGTTTGTTTGTTTGTTTTGTTTTTTTCACACAAAGCTAAATCCAGTAAAACTTCCCTATCTACAGCATTTCTGCTGTTTACAGAATTGTCTCAGGACTGGTCATCCTCGTCCACAGAGAGTAAGAGTGGGATTACCAAAGTCCTAAACGGAGGAAGATGTGAACATCGGAAAAAGCAGCAACAGTCTCAAAACTGTCAACAAAACAGATAATTCTCACACCAACCAGTTTCCCACATGTAGCCTGGCCCCTTCTCTCATGGGTGGTGTGAGAGTCTATTTGCAGAACTACAGGGAATGCCCTGATAGGTGAGGAAAAAAATTCAGTCCAAACCCCTGAAAGGAATAAAGCTGCTTGGCTCCAGAGGAAAAAACTGCTTCTCAATTTACTGATAATCTGACACCACAGCTGGCATCCATCACACTCACCTTTCTCTTTAGGAGATACCTTGGCTAATACATGTTATAATCACATTTGCTTTTTTTCATCCCACCAACATAACCTGGTTTTGGCACCTTGTTACTCTTGAGTGGGCCTTATCTCACCTAATGTAAGACTTGTGGTTAAAGTGAACTGAAAAAGGCACTTCCAAGGAGAGAGATTATTTTGGTCTGATTTTGATCCCTAAAATTAAATTAAACCTGCCCAAACTGACTGTAGTAGTGACCTCTATAATTTCAAAGACTGTTGAGAGTGATGAGGTACAATGGAGATGATCTACATAAGAAAAGATAAATTCCCACTATCTCAAACTAACAACCTGTCCAGATTGCTGCGCCTGTGTAGCAGCTATTTCCAAAAACACCATCTCATGGTGTTGCTCTGCAACAAAGATGCTGGCAATCTGCAAAAGGGCTGAAATCTGTTGATCATCTGCTCATATTTCCTGGGTGTTATTTGAACTGGATGCTAAACCGTTCTGGGAATTCCCTTTGGACTGAAGGAACAGCCTTCCTCAAGTGGCCCAAGAGAAGACCAGAGGTCAGATGGAAACAGAGACCAACCAGCAAGAGAAAACAGTTTCAAGATGGCAAGATTCATAGAATCATTTAAAAACCATAATTTTCTATCCATCAGACAATGTCAGGTATTCAACAGTCAAAAGAAATCAAGTTTAAAACTGTCCCTTCAAGAAAAGAAAGTCTCTGTCAAACTCAAGATTTAGGTATTTGCCTCCTGACAGCTCTGAAGAGAAAATCTCACCAGAAGGCACAAACCTCCCTGATGAGGCACTAGGCACACATTTCTCAGTGAATTAACTCTTTGTCTTCCCACCCTGCCTGGAATGGTGGGTCTGGGTTTCTGGCTGCAGACTTCATTTGGTGTAAATAAATTACAGCAATCTCCAACGACATTTAGAAGGAAACGAGAGCGCGAATCACATACAAAAGTTATAAAGTACTCACCAGGTCACCTGTCCCAGGCTTTTCCATAATAACTGGGGGGAGCAGTAACCCTGCAGGAGAAGTAGGGTCTGGGTGGAGTGCCCCGGTGCCTCCTCCTCCTCCTATCAGGGAAACCACACCATTGCAATCCACTGAGCTGTTCCTTTTGCCCGTCTGGGTGTAGTTGGGAGTAGTAGGGTGAGAACTATGGCTCACTTGACTCTGCACGCTTGGACGCCTCCCAGATCTTGGAATTAAGAGGGAGCCCCGGTGGCTTTCATTTTCCCCAGCGATGCTGATCTCATCATCGGCAAAATCTGTCTCGGAGCAAGTGTCTCTGCCACGGAGTCGGAAACTGAAAACGCTTCCGTGGCTCGTTCTGCGCTTCACCAAGTTTGCACTGGGACCATAACTAATGCCAAGGAGAGTCTGGAAACCCCCAGAAAGGAAAAAGGGGAAAGAGAAACAACATTTTGCAACATGTTTTTCAGGAGCGAGGAAGTTCTGGGGGAGAGCAGTGAGTTCCGTTTTAAACCAAGCGCTTCGGAGGAAGAGAGATTTAATTACAGGTATTCAGGCTCCTCAAAGCTAAGAGGCTGGACAGTCATTCCTAGCCTTTAGGCATTTGTCTAACACTTGGCAATTAAAGATGTACTGAAACAGGAAGGGTCAAGGTGGCATTCAGCTCACAGCGTGATACTTCCTTCGCTTCTACTCCCCCCCATGGGACAAGTGCCAGAGGAGCTGGGAAGGCAGCACAAGGAGTGGAAGACAGGAGCAGGGAAGGGGGATCCAGCTCCAATCTACTGCATTATCACACATCTTCATAACAGCTAGGGAAGGAACAGTGCAGTGGGAGAAGATAAAGAAATAGGGCAGGAAATGAACTGCAGGGAAAATGAGAAGAAGAGGGAAGAAGAAGAAGCAGAATACGACGGAAGAAGGTGATAAAAGAAACAGAAAAAAAAAACCAAATCAAAAAACAAACCAAGAGCAAGAAGAGGGATATGGTTTATTAGTTTGTAAAATGATTATCTCAATGCACATGGCTGCTTAAGGGCTGGGTAACCTCAGTACACAGCAATCTCCCTCACTTAAATATCAGCCTTGACGATCCACTCTGACGTCAGTCAGTGAGACTGCAACTCTGCCAGAGCATCAGCAAGATGTAGCCAAGGACTAAACACACCTAAAATCCGGCAGAGCCAAAAGGATCTTCAGAAAATGTGTGAGGAATTCAAGTCTATCCCTTTCTCTTCTCTCTAAAGAGGAAATTACTGGAGTAAGAGCATTTAGGCAGAACATATTTTTGAATTTATGCCTGCACAGAATTTCCAGCTTCTTCAGAACTTTTCCATGAGCCAAGTATCTATGAAGAGAGGTCAGATTGCCACAGCACCCACAAACCAGACAAATCAAATGAAGCCTGATTTCATTCTGTGCTGTAGCTAACACCACTGAGTTATGTAATGATGCTATTTAGTGACACTGGTACATGGAGGAGTACAAAAGCCAGGCTCTTTCTAACTAAAAACAGCCCTTTTGGATTGCTACCAAATTTCAGCTGGTCAGAAATCCATGCCTGGGTTTCCATGGCACAGTCATTGAGACTGATTTCTGATGGCAACACACTTCCAGCTGCTAAGATAGCATCTGAATGATGACTCAGCCTTATTCCCTCCAACCATGCCAGACACAGCCTTGCAGAGAAGATTTACTATAAGCTTTGAAATGTGTCTCCCATGCTCCTCATGCATATATGACATCCAGGGGCGAAAAGTGAAAACAAGGAATATTAATCTGAGGAATAAACTGAAAATGCACAGCTCCAATCCACGGTGCTTCTGGCACGTGGTGTCCTGAAACCCATCCAGAATGAAGCTAAAGAGCAATTCTGAGTTTAGAAAAGGTGCAATTTGTTACACAACCCTCTTGACCAATGAGACAGCAACACAAACAATCGGATTTAAAAATCCATGTCATCTACAGAAATCCAGCTCTGGGTGAATTTTGTGAGCTGGGGAGTCATTAATTGGTCACATTTACTTACACCACTTACATGTTTTTTATGAGCTTTTTATGGCTGCCAAGTATCCCTAAATTCACTGACAACAAAATAGAAAAGGATTTAGCCCATTACATGGCTATTCAAAACAACAAAACAAACTGATTTAAACTTTGCCCTCAGTTAAACAAAGACAAATTATCTGGAGCTATTTATGATCCCTTGATACATACAGCATGGGCAGATTCATATTCATGCATGTCAGGAACATTTACATAAAACCTTATTTAATAACACTGTCACTCTGTTTTTCTTCCCTGCAACAGAAAGTAGGAACAAGTGCCACAAAGTTTTGACTTGGAGGCAACTAGCAAAAGAATATAAAAATGTTAATAATGTCTTTGTATAATATTTAAAAAGCCCTCAGAGACAAGTTTCCTCCTTTTCTCCTCCTCTCTTTTATTTTTAAGCCTTGTAGGTTTCCACTAAGATATTTTTTTATCGCTAGCAGGGATAGGATAGATATAATCAGATGAATGAAAGAAAATAAACCAGATCGAGGGTAATCTTGAGGCAAAAAAAAAAAAAAAAGAAACAAATTGAAAAAAACAGGTTTATAAAAATGTTTAATGGGCATTTTAAATTCATTTAAAAAATAAAGTGGTAATATGTTTCCTTCCACTGTTCTACCACAGACTGTATACTGTGGCTGCTCTGTTAATATCAGTTAAGATATTAAATATCTGTTTCTTCTAAAAGTTTCAGTTTAAATTGCCTTGCTCAGAGCCTGACCTGTCCAGGAAAGTACAGTGTGGAACAAGTGATGTTTCAGACCATGGCTTACCATCCTCCTTTGACCATCATCATAGTCACACTTGGGATTCCTTTGGTCCTCCCCATACTCGTCTCCCCCCAAAGATTTCTTTTTCTTCCTCTTATTTCTTCTTTCTTTTGCACTTTTAGGTGACAGTTCCAATGAGCTGAGTGACATTGAATCAATTCCTTTAGCTGCTAGTGCCTAAATCAGAAGATTGCAGAAGTTATAAATATTGTTATTTCAGGATTTCAGTGAAAACTACTACAGCTCAGAAATTATTTTTCGCTTCAAATTTTAAGGTTGTATAGGAGAGATATTAAAAATTTTGGGAGATAAGGAATCATAAAACTTAAGAGTGGCTGCATAAAAGGATGGTTTTTATGTGGAGCTCCCACGCTAAGACTGTTTGACATATCATGAAGGAACAGCCTGTGTGCACACATCTCTGGACTAACACTTCTGGTGCCAGGCAAAGAAAAATCTCAAGCTGGGGAACCTCAGATCAAAGCTCCCCTGGCCCTCAGCCCCTCGAAGGGCTGGACAGGAGGGCAGCCCAGCTGGCTGCTGGGATTCTCCCTGCCTGCACAGAGGGATGCCAGGAGCAGCAGGCAGCTCAGCTGGCGCGTTCCTGTAAACACTTATCCCCATCGCAGCTGCGACCAGAGATGCAAAGAAAGAGCCATGGGCTTGACTCGAGATAAGGTGGCCTTTGCTGCGGCACGTGCTTCCATGCTGTGCTGGCTATCTGCTGGGATCTCTGCAGGAGCAGGCTGATAACACACCAGCTGCTGGGAGCCCTGCAGAAGCCCAGTTCCAAAGCCTGAGCATCAAAACCACAGCCCTGGGAGAAAATGAGCAGCCAGGAGGAAGGATCGATAGGAGCTGGGGGAGCTGGGGCTCTGTCACCAGCACAGGCAGGAGGAATGAGGGGACTCTGGGCACAAAGATCAGGTTTGGAGGTGCTGGAGAACCACATCAGTGGCCTGGAGACCAGCCCAATGCAGAGCCCTCAGCTGAAACACCTGAAGAGAGCGAATTGCTAAAAAACGCCTCTCCCGCTTCCCCAGAACAGGAGAAACAGATGAATCCTCAGTGCTATTGTCTGTAAGCCACTAGAATCAAACAGGCAATCATCTCTCCACTGCAAAATACTCCCTTCCTCCCACAGGCATCAGTCCAAGGAAAGTGAAGGCACTTAACAGCCGTGTAAAGAATCAATCATGTATTTCAAGGAGTAGCGGTGGCTCTATCAAGCTGAGAGCACAACAAAACTTAATTCCTGTGGGACATATCTTTCATAAGCAAGCTGCTTAGAGCAGAGAGGAGGAGGGCTCAGACACTGGTCCAGGTTGTTTTGGTTGGTTTGTTGTTTGGGGTTTTTTTGAGTCAATTGATTTAATTGCTATGCTGAAGTGCTTTCTCTTCATAAAGATTTGGCAAGTCTTTTGGTGTAAAGCTCAGATTTAGGAATGTGTTAGACCAATTGTATAAACTGACTGATAGTCCCCAAGCAGGTCTATCAATTATATTTCTCTTCTCTTTATACTGCACATTATAAAAGCTGGCCTGAACAGTTCTGATCTTCCTTTTTGATTGCTGTCATATTTTGTTGATCTAGAAAATATTGCAGGTTGTGCTACTAAGCATGCTGCACTCATACTGCAAAATAAGCTAATTTTTAGTTTCTTACAATTTTCTTACCTATTACTTGAATAGTTTCTGTGCTCAATACCTTTCTCAGGTACTGAAAAAGGATTTAGAGTGAATTGTTCCTCCTGGCTTGGAGGACCATAGAATCACAGTACAGCTTGTGTTGGAAGGGAGCTTAGAGTCCATCGAACCCCCCTGCCATGGGCAGGGACACTTCGCCAGTTTCCTCAGTCCAGCCTGGGCACGAGGATGTCCCCATGTCCTGCCTATCTACCTGTTCTGTTTGGGTTCCTGTGGGTGGACCTTGTCCTGTTCCTCAGGCACTGCAGGGAATAATTCACTGCAACAACTCCAGGGGCAGGAAGGGTGTGTGGGACCAGGCATACCTGGCAAGGAGATGTGATGTGATGGCTGAAGGAAAGCTTAGTTCATGAGGTCTGATATGAGAATTATGCAAAAGAAGGCTCTTGAGGGCAAGAACTTAGTGGTACAGTGAGAAAGTCAAAACTAAAATCTTGATTGAGGTTTGGAGAACCAGATTAAAATCACGTAGCTCTGACTGGGGTGAGATATCTCAGCAGGACACTTGAAAGCTCCATGGTGCAGCCAGCAGCCACCCAGTTCCCATTCCCGAGTTTCTCCTTCCAAATGTCTACTTTGAGATGCCAGGAGTTGATTTGCAGAATTATTGGACTCCATTAGTGAACATCACAGACCAAAATCACTCCGCTCCTGAACTTCCTTCCCATAAAACTAGGATAATACATAACACTCCAGGAATATTGCAAATACAAAGGAGCATTTTTGAAGCACGTGGAGTCTGAGCAGCGGCAAGAGGCCCTGAAAAACCTTGGAGGATATTAGTCACTTCCTCTTCCAAGCAGGCTTTGACTGCCTGAGCTGGGAAGTCTGCTCGAGCTGCCCTAAGGCAACACAACAAATGATGAGAAAGCAAAGAGCTGCTCTCGAGTCATGTACTGTCCTCCCTTTGCACTGAACAGGGCGCAGGGAAGATGAGAAATTGTTGGCTGAAGAAAAGACTCTATTACAAAGCATGTAAACAAATGGGAAAAATTCACATTTTCGGGAGCGACTGTTTTTTGACACGTTATGCTTTCTGGGCTTAATGTTCCTTTTCTTTGTGTACACACAGGCTTAATTGAAATCAAAGCCTTCAAAATGAAATTCTTAAATATCTTTAATTATAGCTGGGGCTACTAAAGTTGACTGTTATTAGGAGGAGCTCAGCTGGAGTCAATACACATGAAAATTTGTACAAAATAGGTACGAGCTGGAGCTCAGCTTGTTCCCTTAGGTTATGGCAGAGTTACTCTGTTCAAAGTGGCTGTATATGGACTAAATTGCATTTACCTATTACTTAAACTATCAAAGAGGATCTTTAAAAGGACTTAAATGATTCATAAGCCACTACTAGCACTTTGTCAAGAGTGAATTGCATTTTCTATTTTCTTTCCAAGGATTTAAATGGGCTTTGGATTAGGCCCTGAAGCCATATGTACCCTAAAGAAAATTATGTATATTAGTTTATATTGTGTTTCAAGGATTTATTTCTCTGAACTACAGTGCTACGTGTTATTTCAGACTAATTTTCTTATTGTCTTCTTGTTCACAGCACCTAAAATGTTCTCTTCTGCTGTTTAATAAAAGCTTTCTACCCCACATAAACCACATGCAAATTAAATACTGTTATTAAGGCTATAAGGCTACATCCACCATTTGGCCTCCCTGGTTTGTTTAAATTTATGACATAGCATTAAATCCATACCCTTTGCATAATTTGCAGATCTTAACCTCAAGGTCTGCCTGTTTACTTTTCCAGGAATGAAGCTGTGTGTGCTTCAAAGAGGTTTAAGAGGTTTATCTACACCTTTACCTTCGTTTTCAAACAATTGGATATTTACAGCAGGTGGAGCAAGACAGTGAGGCAAACAATGTGTGCTAAAGGGGTGGCGGAAGGAGGCTCAGCTGGGGCTCTGGCTGAGCTACCAGCACAGCTGGGTTGTGCTCAAATGCAGATGTGGTTTTGCCATCATTAAAACATCTCACATACCAAACTAGATTAATTTTCTCTGCTGGCATACGTGGCATGGTTAAACCAGTACACTTCTGGATGTGTAAACCCCAAATGGCCCCACTCCTAAAGGAAGAACTATAATTTCTCATTCACCAAAAAAAAAAAAAAAAAATGCAATAACTTTGTCCAGTACAACAAACACTAAACTGCTTTCAAGCAAACTCTTACTTTGGTTATCACACAAATGTGAAATAAAGAGGATGTGAATCCCAAGGTAACATTTGTTCAAGTCACCCAAGGTTAATCATGTCACATAGTTCACTGACCTCCTGTTCTTTCTTCAACATCTCCATGGCTTCCCGAAACTTTCTCTCCTTCTCCTCTGTTTCAGCAATAGTGGCTTGGTTCTGCTCCTCATATGCCATGGCCACAACAGCCAGAATCAGGTTGATCAGGTAGAACGAGCCCAGGAAGATGACCAGCATGAAAAAAAGCATGTAGATCTTCCCAGCAGATCTGAGAGTCTGTACGTGCAAAAGTAAAATTAACACTGCTTTACCATGTTTTTTAAAAGAAAAAACAAATAAAGAAAAGAAGGGGTTTCTTTTAAAATTAGACTTAAAATATAATTGAGTTCAGCCTTTGTTAATAGTTCAAACAGAAAGCCTTTGATGAGAAATGACAACCACCTACAAGGAAATAATCTCCTCACCAATAAATTTTTATACCTTAATCAAAAATTGTGTGCTTTGCAGTGAATTAATTTCTAAAAGAAAAATGCTTTCAATGCTTTCCTCCTGTATCAGATATCTCTGCTGGTTTTTTTTTTCAGAATAGATATTAGAGCCAGCTACAGTGAAAAATTCCCCCACAGTTCAATCTGGTTTTATCTTGTGTGTAGAAACCATCCAAGTGGGATTCATGTTGGATCCCTTCAGATGTCTACAATCCAGGTCCTTTTTCAGGGAGAAAAATACATGCTTAGGGTGCAACTCAACCAAATATCATTGAGACATCTGTGTCAGGATGAGAAGAACCAAACCTTGGGCTCTGTTGAATGTATCCCCTGGTTCTTCACCAGATTTATTGGCATAACTGGAATTCAGGGGACAGCTTATGTGTAACAGATATGTCCCATGCTCAGAGAGATGATACTGCTGACAGAAAACACTGTGTGATAGTATAAGGTCAAATAATAAAATGGAGTGATGTTCATCCTTATTTGCCGTGACAGTTTCTGTCTTCCAGAGTTGTACGCGTAGGTCTTTACCAAGTAAGTGAATGCAGCTGTTTAAAGAATCTTCAGTTTTGTTGTTTTACGTTTTCCTGAAGTGAAATTGCATAACTGGCTGTATGTGAAGCTGAAATCCCCCAAATCTTCAGTGATATTTACCTCAGTACCTTCAGAGTGGTTCTGTCAATGTTATCCCCTATTTCCATATGATCACCTTCCAGTTTTGTCAGGTTTGAGATGCAGCAGCAAATTGTCAGTGGCTCCACGGACAGAGAATGTAATTCAGTACCACAGTGGCATGTGTAGTTCTTTGGGGTTTGTACACATTTCAGGAAATGCATGCTGAAATGAGCATTTACTCAGAGACCACCTTGCATGTGACTGTGAGTTGAGTGTCCATGATGAAGAGCTTGCAGCAGAGAGAACCAAAATGCATCACCTAGTTTTGCAATTTTCTGAATTTGTGTTCATCAACACACCTTGCAAAACCAGATATCACAAGAACACAGGTTCTTCTCTAGCCTTTTCTCGGGCTGGACTCAGAATATTAACTTGTGTTACACCATCCAACAAAAAATCACCAAGTGGTGATGTGGTGATCTTCCTTAAGTGGTGAACTTCATTTAGACTCAGGTGAATTAGGGTCTTTCACTCAGTACCACTTTTTCTCAATTTCCCCAAACACCCAGCCTAATGTCTTTGGACATTATTCTTCTTAAGAAAATTATTAATTATTAAAACTGATTGTCCTTCTCCAGAATATCTGATAATCCTTCTCTAGAACATACACAAAGCACAGTTTACCTAATAACCAGCAATTCTTTCTTGTCTTTAACTGCTGTATATGCCACTGTAACAAGATGATGTCTTTATTTTTATTTTTAACAGTAATAAAATACCTCATACCTGTTGGTAAAGACGTTCCCAGTAATCTTGAGTCATAAGACGGAACAAGGAGAGAAAGGCCCAGCCAAAAGTATCAAAGCTTGTGTAACCATGGTCAGGATTTTCCCCAGCCTTCAGACATATATATCCCTCAGGGCACGTGCTGCAAAACATCAAATAGAATCTGTGAGATGCATCTTAGATGGCTCTAACATGGAGAAACTGATTTCCAGGGAAACACATCCAGTGCCCTTGGTTAAGAGCACAGGTCATCCATGGTAAACTCTTTCACTAAACAGGTGATGCTACTTCACAATATCCGAGGTCTCGGCAACTTTATTTTTTCTTCGAAAGGATAAACAGCAAAATAAAAACCACAGCACAAGCTGCAATGGCAAATAATCACCTAGCATTTCAAAAATTTCGAATACACTGGAATTAGGTGCTCAGATATGATTTCTCCTGGCACTTATTCCTAATTAAGAATCAAAAGCCTGGTGCCTCCTGTTACAGCAGCAGGTAACACTGTGATGGTGAACCTGCTCTTTTGGTAACACAGTCTGACACTGGCTGTGCTATGAGAGCACCTTCCTGATTGCTTCCTCTGCCTGACCTCAGTCACCCCAAAAGGATTAAATGTTTAATCTAAGAAACCCAGCCCTTTGTTCCACTCACCGCCACAGTCCGGGGTCATGACATCTTTTCTATTTCTGCCAGGAACTGCTTTCCTTGTGTGTCTTGCGGATTACTGTATTAAATGGCATGCAGATAGCATGAATTTCTCTGGCTCTCATTAACCTTTGAGGCTCCTTACAAGCAATTTTCTAGCCCCATATGCCAGAAGAGATAAAAAGTGCTCTCAGTGGTACCGTGTAAGCACTGAACTGCATCATCAAGTGAAACACAAGGTGGAAGAGATCCTGGGTTGTTCCAGCCTCTCTCTCAGAAGACATTAATCAAAAACCTCCAAAACTCTTGCACATCAGAAGCCACTCTCCAAAAAATAAGGGATAACCCATTAGAAACTGAAGACATAGAAATATGCAAAGGCTTTCTCCTGCATGTATCCTAGGAAGAGAATATGAGATCAAGTGCCCTGGAGTCTTATGGCATTTGGGAATTTTTAGGTGAGAACCATCTAATATTTGGAAAAGGAGATCTCAGCAGAATGTGCAGTTACACCAGCTCTCCCTGTTCTCCTAATACTTCAGATAGAGATGAACCTGGTACAATTCCCTGCAAATTCTAGCTGCCACAGCTAGGGATGGTTGGAACATGAGAGATTTTGGACATGTCACCAGTCATGCAGATTGTGTAGCTTTAAGCTTCATTTTCTCCCAGAAAAATATCTTAGAGTTGCTCAATCACTGCTACTTTTCAACCAAAGCAGAATATTGACAGAAATTGAAATGCAAAGCAGAAACACAAATAAAGCAAACTAATTTTTGGATTCCAGGAAAAAAATTGACATCTGAGAAAGCAGAGTGTGTGTCAGTGTGAAAAGCAGTTTTCTTTTCCTTTAAAAACTACAATTTTTATACAGATATAAAATAAATTTTACAGCACAGGATTACAACCTCTATTGCATGTCAAAATGAGAATATGTTTTAATACAAATCTATGTTGTCTGCCACCACCATTAGGCATTCAACAGCGCTTTGAGAATCTTAATTTAATATCAGTAGTGAATCACAAATTTTAAAGTAAGTCTGCTTTGAACACTGATAAAAGGAGTGCTGAAGCATTGCAAAATGTGTGCAGATCCTTGTTTACAGTAGTTTTCAGAAAAAGCAATAAAAAATGAACAGCTGATGTTTAGTGAATTAAATGTTACACACAAGTGGGGGTATAATAAGTGATTCTGTCACCTTGGGTAGAGCCAAATTAGCTTATACCAGTTGAGAATTCAGATAATAACAATTATATCTCACAAAGAAAGAAAAATAGTCACTCCTAGTTTTTTCCCTGCCAGTCTAGAAATGCCTCCTTCTAGATCTTTCCTACTTTAACTAGCTATTTTTTTTCTAATAAGAGCCACATTTCAATAAAAAATACAGTAACATCACTGAGTTAGAAGATAATAAAATGTAGAAATCTTGTATTTTTCCCCCTAAAATATGCAGATGCACAATGAATGTCTCTTGTATACCCATGTCCTTTTTTGAGGCAGAATTTTCACTAAATCTCCTCTCTCCCAAAGGCAGCCTATGCTGTCACTCTGCTGCAGAGATGTGAGATTTCTCCCTCTGATCTGCTGCAGCAAAGAGCCTTTGCTGCCCGTGATGTGCCACTCAGCTGCTCAGGAGCTCTGAGAAATGGATTCTCCAGGCTCCTGAGGAGGAAATTCCCTTTGCTGGCTCCAAGACATCCTGTCTACACAAGACATGAACATTTCTGTAAGGCTGATTATTTCTGCCATGGGAAAATGACTTCTCTCACACACTGGGTGTGGTTGGAAACTTTGGGATCATGTCCAGAGGTGCAGAATCCTTTCCTTAATTTCTCCCTAAAGAGAAATCCTGAGTGGCTCCATTGATCTGGTCTCATTGTTCTTATTTTAACATTATTACTAATGGCCAAAACAACCCAATGCAGCTGAGAGAAACTTTGCTGGTGGTTACTTTAAAGGTGGAGTTTAGCCTAGGCAGGGCAGTCATTAGGAAATCAGGCTTCTTCTAGAATAAGTTGCCTAAAATCTTGGGCAAAATGGAAATTTTGCCATTAATATAAATTATTGAGACGGGTGAGATTTTCCTCTGAATCTCAATTAGTAGGGAGAATTTCCTCTTAATCTCTTCACCTTTTAGAACAAGAGCCTGGGAGAAAGGGGACATTAGGAACCTTGGGATGAATTTTCATAGGAATTTCTGAGCACGTGTTAGAGGATAAAAAGTCACTCAGGTTCACTGCCAATGCTGCTTTCTAGGGAAACTTTTGTTGAGGAAGAACTTTCAAGCAAGTTCTCAAAGCATTTTGCCTTGGAATCTGTAGGACATGGAGATGTAACACCTCTGACTGTGAAAGTGAGCAGTGGTACCTCAGAGGAATATTTTATGTTTATAATACAATTAGTATTATGCACATATGTCGCAATCATCTTTTCATTAAAATCCTTTCTTAGGATTTTTCCTGCTGAAGCTGAGAAGTTTCAGCAACAAAGTGTAAACAATGGTTATCTGCTGCTGTGGAATGCAACAGGTGGATCTGTGATTGGTCTCTTGTAGATGTTTAGATTTACTGACCACTCACAGCAGGGCTGCTCTCGCTCTCTGCCAAGACACAGATCTTTTTTATTATTCTTTCATTCTACTTTTAGTTTAGCTAGCCTTATGAGAACATTTCTTTCTATTCTTTTTAATATAGTTATAATGTAATATATATATAATAAAATAATAAATCAAGCCTTCTGATCATGGAGTCAGCATTTTCGTCTCTCTCATCCTGAAAACACCTGTGACCATGGTCACACACATATAATACAATTTTTTCATTTTTTATTCTGTCGTTATGGGTCATTTTCTACTGTCTGACCCCATAGTGAATGGTTTAATCCCAGCTGGCAGCCAAACCCCACAGAGCTGCTCACTCACCCCAGCCCCACTGGGAAGGGGGACAAAATTGGATGAGTAACAGTGAGAAATCTCATGTGCTGAGATAAAGACAGCTTAATAGAACAGAAAAGGAAGAAAATAACAGCAATATGAATAATTACAATAATAAAAGCATTGAACTACACAAGCGATGCTCAGTGCAACTGCTCACCCCTTGTCAGTTCCCAAGCAGTGTCCCCCAGCCAGGTTTCCCCCACTGTTTATACACTGAGTGTAGGGTCTGGAACGTCCCTCTGCCCAGCTGGGTTCTGCTGTCCTGGCTGTGTCCCCCCCAGCTCCTTGTGCCCCCCCAGCCTCCCCACTGGCAGAGCATGAGGAGCTGAGAAGGCTTTCACTTAGCAGAAGCACTTCTTAGCAACTACTGAAAACACCAGCGCGTTACCAACATCATTCTGATCCTAAACCCAAAACACAGCGCTGTAGCAGCCATGAGGAAGAAAATTAACTCCATCCCAGCTGAAACCTAGAAAACACACTTCTCTAATATTTTTTTTCAGCTTTAAGAGCATTCAAATGAGGCACAGCAGCATGAAAAGCATGAACCCCAGCCCAAAAATGCTGTTAATGTTAGGTTGCACCCTTATTATGGCAACCAGACCCTTGAGACAGAATTTCCTACTTGTCAACTCCTTATTCCTCCTCACCCTCTTTCGTGGCCAACAGAGAGATAACCCACAGGGTATGGGAACGTGTTAAAAACACTGAGAGGAAAAAAAAATGCTGCTTCCCAGAAAAACACTGCAGAAATTTAGGTGTAAGGCTCTCTCATGAGAATATTATTCTGCAACTGACACCATTTCCTCTGAGGATTTTTTTAAGGAGCCTCAAGATTTTACTGAACCTTCCTCCATGTATGACATTAAGCTTACCCCCTCTGAATTTTTTAGCAAACTCTTCCGCTTCTTTTACCTCAGGGAAGCATTTGAGAGGTTTGTACTCTCCTCTGATGGGCAACAAAAACAAGATACATAAATATACCATCCTCCACAGGAGTGTCACAGGATGCTGTTCAATTGATCACAATAAAATTAGTGTCATTGATTCAGAAAAGTTAAAAGCAGCAGCCTACCTACCTATCCATCAGGCTGTAATCACCACTGCAAGCTGGCATTGGTACAGGAAATTAAAGGACATAAGAAACAGCTTTGGTTTAAATAACACAGGCTGGGAATGCCAGAGAGCTGTAGCTGAGGGGCATAATTACAAAATGCTCTGTCTCAAGAGTTTAATCTAGGCAAGCCAAGCAACCTGCTGATCCAGGCTACAGTGGCCAATAGGGCTGGGCAATAAAGGAAGATTTGTAAAACATCCGTGCGCTGGATCGTAACATCCAGAGCCTGAAAATACAGGGAGGGTTTTCCATGTGCTACCAGGAGGCAGCACCAGTGACATCTTTGAGGTGGGGGCTGCACTTTCCTTGGGTTCAGGTTGCAAAGGGACACTCTGGCTTGCTCACTGCAGAAACAGTGAAGCACATACCACAGACACAGCAAAAATTAAAAAACCAAACCCCTATTTTGATAAGAGTCCTCTAGTGTCCCTTCTTAGGTCA